TTGATTACTTAGCAAAATATTTTTACTTCTAAGTTAAATTTATTTTATTCATTCAATTTTTAATGTTAATTCCATCACTTCGTGTTTGTAGTGTAAAAAATATAACTTTCGAAAACGGTTCGATCTGAAATTTTCGTGTCAGCACGCATATCAATAAATGTATAGCACTTAAGTAAAATATTTGAATAATAAATTGTTTTATTATTACGGTATTTTGTATTAAAAAAAGTTGCTTTTTTATAACCTGTTGTTGTTCGAGGTCATGACAATGCGAAAAGGTCAAGAGCCGTTGTTCAATTATAGCGTACACAAACTACTTATCTCAGATTTGGTTTATTAGTCTGTATTATTTATTATTTGTATGTTTAAATCGATAAAATTATTGGATTATATAAGCTTTTTAATTAATTTTTTATGATTAAATTCTCACCCATAATTTTGCCCTTTAGATCTGTTTAACCATATCAGAGCGATTATTTAAACACATCTTATTTTAATAAACATAACAAGGTTCTTTTTTTCATATTTAAATAGATAATATTTTCTTTTGATGTTGTGAGGAATATGAGAATATATTATTTGAATAATTCATCAATTTTATATTAGTTGTTTATGTAAATCATACGTTTTCTTCGTCTCTGTGTCCTGTTTAAGAGTGCTTTTTTTAAAGATACTAAGAGAGCTTTTTAAAAATACCCATCGTGAGTTCAGACGCGCTCACAATGGGTCAGTCAGATGGTGAGTAATGAGCCAACGTATTCGGGACAGACCACCTCCGAAAAATTCTTGAGATTGCTCGCCCAGATATAGATAAGATTTCGAGTTCCCCAGAGCGGTAAGCTGACACCTTAGCCATCTCGACCATCCGGCCTTCAACAAGCATACGTTAAGTGCTTTTAAGATCAAATTAATGAAAAAAAGTCTCTTACCAGTTGTATAATTATAATAGAGTATTAATATCATCAATTTTAATAAAAAATAAAAAAACTATTTTATGAAGAAGCTTTTGGTTGAAATAATATGAATAACTTACGATTACAAGAAATTACGAGTTATTCTGTGCCAGTTTCAAATATTTTACGTACTTTTACTATGTGAAATAAGAAATACATGTAAATTAAATATAATCCAATATTTAATTTACATCTTTTTAATACAGTGATACCCCGAACTTACGCGATAGGTGGGACCGAGCGATTACCGCGTAAGTCGGGGTATAATTTCGCAATTTGCGTAAAACCCAAGTCGGATGTATGTAAGCTAATAAATATTCTCGTTAATCCTATCTCGTCTTTTGATTCGTTCACGGTTAGAAGAAATCATCACATAGAGTCTCTCGAGTCTCGGTAGATATAACAAACACAGAAATAAATAACAGAAAATAAATTGTATCTATGTGTGGATTCCGCGCGACACGTCCGAACATGTAAGCTGAACAATAGTGTGGGAGGAGTGAGTAATCAAGAGTTGAGTGGCGCTCAAACAAAAGACGAATCGACGAGATTTGAAAATCGCGTAACTCCAGGTTCGCGTAAGTCGGGGTAGCGTAAGTCGAGGCATTACTGTATTTAATATTAAACAGCAAATTTATAAATTTGCTATTAAATATTAAAAATGTTTTATTTTAATATTTGAGAATATGTGATTCATAATTTAATTTTTATAGATAAAAATTGTAAATATAAATCTTATAACACTTTTATACGAGCTAAATTTATCAATATATTCTACAATAACTATTTTAATTACAATTTGCATAATTTTTAAAACTAATTACACATTAATTTTTGCTTAATCTTTATAAAAATTCGGTTTAATTTGATAGCCTTATTTTGAACGAGGCTTTTAAGGCACTAGTTTGTTTAGTTAAGTTACGGCAAAGCAATACTTGGGCGCTCTGCCTAGGACTTCCGGGAGATCTTTTAAGGATAACTAGCCCCTATTCAGGCGTTACAGACATGGAGAAAACCTGGAAAACTCCACGTGGCCAGCCCCTCCTGGCGAGGTGCGATCCCACGACCGAACTCTTAGTGTTCAGGTAACGGAACCTTTTGACCACTGGTGGGCCTTTTAAGCACTAACTTACCTCTCTTAGAGATCCGGAATCGGATCCTGGAGAAAAAACCCAAGAAGTTTTATGGGTGGTCTGTCCAGAATATGTCAGAACTTGTCCCTCACTATCCAGCTACACTCATTGACTGACAACGATGGATTTGGAAAAAGGCCCTCTTAGTGCCCACAGGACCGAAAGAGTTAATTAAAAAATAATCAATTCAGGAATTGCTGAAATCCTTGATTTGAATGAGCATAAAATTAATATGTTTTAATGTAATTAAGAGTATTCTCATATTTTATGCGTTTTATAAATACTGTATTTTTAACTAAAGTTAAACATGTGTTTAGAAAATAGATACTGTATTTGAAAAATTCTGCGTGAGATTGAACACATTTTTATTGATTATTTTTGCATGGATGATTCCAAAACTACACAAAAAATATATACTGTATATAAAATTTTGTCTGCACATATAATCCTACCACTCTGGCAACCAGAGATTGAATTCGGGCAGATCGAAAAATCCCAGGAAGTTTTTGGAAGTGATCCGTCCCTGTTATGTCGGGTTCTGTCCCTTACAACACAACTACTTTATTATGGGTTTGGTGAATCCACGATAGAATTGATTTTTAAAAAAGGTCTCTTTGTGCCAAAGGGCGGTGGACAAAAAAAATAATGAACTAAAATAATTCATTGCTCAGTCCAATTAACAAATATACGATAATATATATATGTTAAAATACAAAATATATTCAATGAATAATCAAAGATAAAGCTAAAAACAATGAAATAAACTTAATCGAATAGAACACGGCAAAATTTTCAATAAATTAATTTATTATAAAGTTATCAATAAGTAGAACTTCAATTTGCACCCAAATGGCCAACGGTCTTCCAGAATCTCTTTATATATTGTTGCATTTCAAAGCAAAATTTCTCAATACACAATTAGAAAATATGAATTTATTTTAAAGACATTATTTTATATATGTTATGCTTCATATTATAAAAAAAATATAAATATTTTAGAGACAAGTATGTAAGGAAGCTATATAGAGTGGGATTTTATTTTTTCATTTTTGAATCTTTTCATCCTGTGGACACTATGGGCATTTTTCTATGCCATTATGAGTTTACAGTAGAGCCTCGATTATCCGACCCCCGATTAACCGTCACCTCGGTTAACCGACCCTCCTAGTCGGCAAATTTCAAATGTCCGCTAGTGATGTGGCGCTACAATATTTGGCTATGTCTTGGCTACTTTAATATTATTTTTACGTGTTTTAGCTGGCAACACTCAATCGACCATGAAAGGGAGCCAGTATTTAAACGAGGCTTAATTTTCTAATTTTTAACGATACAATAGCAACGATTATTATTTTAAAAAATTTTTGTTAGGCTTAACATCGATGAAAATTCAACGCGAAGTAGGTTAATAACGGTATACTAATATACTAATTACATGGGATATAATAATATAGTACACGAATAATGGATTTTTTCATACTTTTCGGTTATCCGACTTTTCAATTATCCGACCAACCCCAGTCCCCAATTGGGTCGGATAATCGAGGCTCTACTGTAATTAGACCCACAATGCGGCGACCAAAAATACATATTTTGTATTTTCTATTAACGTCTCTCATTTTGGAATAAAATGTTCTCTTTTATTTTCGTGGTTATCTGATCATCCTTGATGAGACGGTATATGGGCAAGACACAAATGATGTGTCTCATTTATTTTTTTCGGAAGCGGATATATATATATATATATTATTATTATATTATCATTTCACAAATATTGATAGAATGGTGGTCCACCAGTGACCGAATGAATAAAACCATCGAATACTGATCAGAGTTCGCGCCTCACCGAGCTGGTCGCGTGGAGTGTTCCTGTGTTTATTTGCGTGTCTAACACCGAAATATGGACAATTTTCCCATAAAAATCCTCCCGGAAGGTAATGTTTCCTTGGCAGATAGTCCATATGTTGGGTTGCAGTATCTTATCAAACCACACCAAACCAAATATTAATATAACGGTACGTTTATAATAAATAATTTTTATTTATGTTCATTTTAAATGTTTTTCAATCACTTTCATGTTATGTTTTTACATAAATGGCTAAATTTGAAGGTGTTTTGTATTAGAAGCTTATGCTACTCTTCTCTATATAAATCTGTTTATATACATATACACATTCACAGTGTATATACAACTTCATATATTTACAGAGAGGAAAAAATAGTATAATGTGTAAAATATATGCTCATGCTACATTAAAATATAGTCATTATTATTATTTTTTATTTTTAAATAAATAATAATAATGATAACTTTTTAAATATAAGATATAAAGATATGAAAAGTTGTAAAAAAAATTAAATTTTTAGAAACTTTCAATCATTTTTATACAGAACTGTAAAGTTCTATATAAATTTAAAATTTTAAAATTGTTCTGTTAGTGTCCTTACAGCTGGAAAAGTAAAATATAAAAAAAACTTAATGCGAGTCATTTGTTACATTTATTCATTTTACATATAAAATTGTTATCTTTTTAAAAAAATGTAGTCGATCTTTTGGCGCTGTTGTCTCCATGCCATTTTTTTTTCTTGATTTTTATTGGGTCTTTTACTGTTTGAATTTTAGAAATGAATATTAAAATTATGTATTGTATTCGAAAAGGATCAATCAACACATAATAATCAAAATATAGAAAATTAATATAAAAATGTCAAAAAGACTATTCTGAAGCGCTGCTCTGCTAATTTTTGGACACGGCCCTCTGGTGGCCAGTGTCCAAAAAAAAGTTCTGTTATATTAAATATCATCATCTAAGAAATATTTTTTGCTTACATTCTATTTTTTTTAATAATTATAAATATACGTAAAATATTAATATAAGATGTTTTGTAACGAACGGTAGAAGACGGTTAATATTTTTTTGTTAAAGGTCGGAGATCTCGATTGTTTAGTGCAATGGCTTCGACGACAGTCGGATCTGGGTTCGAGGCGGGGATGAGGTCGTGAAGCCGACGAGTCGTTGGTTTGTTGCTTTGTTCTTGGGATGAATCACGGATAATAAACATCGAATTTACAAATCGCAAGTCAATGTTAAACTACTCTAAAAGAGATCCCGCAACAGTCGATTAAATATGCTACTACGGAACGAACAATCTCGGGGATGTAATTGATCGCCGTCTTGCCGCAATTCATGGCGGACGTGTTAAGCCTAATGCGGTTGTTCTAGACGAAAAATGCAAAAGCGAGAATTAAAAGATAATTCTCGCCAAGATAACCCGAGGAAGTATAAGATATCCGACTTTAAAGCCATGCACACTTACACGTCAGCCAGGCAGTCGTCATCTGGTAATTCGGGGGTCCTGATGGTCGGTCCCAATTTTAAAGTTGGTAAGAAGATCGGATGTGGGAATTTTGGCGAGTTAAGACTCGGTGAGTAATTTTACACGTAGTTTATCGTTTAATAAAAAGAAAAAAAAGACAATAAAACAGACAGACCGTCACAACCGAGAATGAACATATCTCACAAAGTGCAATACAAGTTTGAACACGTTCAGTACACATTGACAAAAGTCTTCCATACAAATAAACTAATGTCCATTCAAATATATAAAGATATCTTCGATTTCTATTCGGTGTGAGTGACAAAATATATGTATATACAGTTTACTAAACATAATAACACCAGAATGAAGCTACATTGTACATTTTGACAGAATAAAAAAAGTGTTTTTGTTGAAACTTCCATATATTCTGGTTGGTGTAAATTCTTTAAAGATATATTAACATTGTAAATATTAAATGTGTCATTTTTACTAAAGACAAAACCTATTTTTCTGGTTTCTGTTCATATTCTTTATCCCTGTTGTAATCAATTCCAATTAAAAAAAAGAATGTGATTGCAAAATTAAAAGAAATTTTTAAAAGTATAGCATTATTACATTGATAAACTTTAAAGTCATTCTATAATTATATTAATATGCATCTTTTGATGATTTTTAAATTTGTTTTGTTTGTTTAACTTCAGTTTAAAGCCAATAAACTAGAAAGTATTAAACATCTTAGTATCATTTTATGAATGCACTGATTGATTATTGTTGAGACACTATCCTGATTTATTTTATTTTTTATTTGAGATTCTTAAATAATAAATTGGCAGTTAAATATTTTAGTTGTTGAGAAAATAACAGTAGAACTGATTAAAAATGTCATTGACATTAAATGAATGTTTAATAATAAAATGTGATTTAATATGTAAAATCATTTTTAATATGACAGTCATCGGTTGAAGGATAAATCATGGTTACAAAATTTATGATGCATATATTCTCATTTCACATTTCAGTCTTATATGATAAATTTTTAAATGCTTATTTTATTTTAATTATAGAATCTTATTGGCATTATTTTCTTAGAAACAAAGAATGAAATCAATAATATATAGTAATTTATGTAATAGAATTTAACGAAATTTGATTTTAATGTGTTTATAAATCATTGATAACCAGTTCTTATATTACAAATAAATTTTAAAGCTAAACACACAAATTATATATTATATAATTTTATTACCTAAATAGAAATTTCAGCAAATTAGATGATAATTATTTAAATTCATGTTTCAGCTTTTCTAATCTACAATCCATCACTGTAAGTTTTTAAGATTGAATATATTATTAATTCTTATTATGTTGAATCTTATAAAGCATTTTGCTTAGGTGTTGAAATTTAAAAGTGATATGTAATGATTATTTTAACAATGAGATTTTTAAACATAGTTTAGCTCTTTAATGATGTTTACTGAATTCCCAACAGTTAATACATAAAACTTTTAATAAGTTTTTTGATGACTAAACAAATTTATTAGATTTAAATAATCAATTCCTTTAGTTATGTTTTCTGAGAATTAATTTCTTTTAGTTATGTATTTTTAATCAGTTTGTTTCTATTATAATTTTTATTTAGATCATAAGTAATTTGAAAGATTAATTTCATTCTCTTAATAATTTGTTTGTCAATTATCTGTTCTTATTTTATTAATATACTTAAGTAATTATACATTTGTTGTTGCTTTACACTTAATATTGAATTAAGAATAAGTATTAGTGATGACAATTAAGGTAGTTAAATAAATTTTATACAATATAATTACCAAAGATGGTAGAATATAAGCTTTTCAAATAATTTATAGTATGATTACATAAAAATGTATGAAAAATAGTTATAAAAAGTCTGTAATATATGTCATGATTATATAGAATATTTTAGATGATTTTCTGAAGAATAGAAATCATTTGTGATCAATAAACTGGATTTTTTCCAGTTATTTGATTTGCAAATTATTTTTAGTATTTGTATAAATTATAACTTATTTTTTTTTTAAGAAACACAATGATTTTACTGGTAAAAGTAGTTTAATTAATTTGTTATTTATTAATTTCACATAAGTTTATAGTGTGTACTAAAAATAATAGAAAAATCAAAATTATTTAACAAAATATGTTTTATACATTGATTCATAGTTTAGTTTATATAAGTAAAGTGTTTTGTCATTTTTGACTTAAATTATTTATTAGACTACTTCACTATGCCATTAGATTAAAACTGTCTGCTAAAAGTTATAAATTGTAGACCAACAGTTTTTTTGTAAATGATTTGTAAGATTTTCAAACTGACAAATTTCACACTAAATGAGTAATTCATTTTCAGAACAACAAATCAGAAGCTCTAAGAATCATAAAAAAATTTTAAAATACTTTTTTATCATTGCAATAGTAAAAGTTCAAGTCACAAATTGGAATTACGTTTGTAACTTCATATTTATTTTTTAATAAAAGACTTCATTTGTCATAATAGCATCTGTAAAATTAGAGTTTTCAATATAAAAATGTAGTAAGATGAAACTTTAATTTATTTCATAAATTTTTAATTAATAAATTTTATGATTTCTTAAAAGACATTTACAGTATTCCAGTATGCATTGCTAGGAGAATTGATGCTTTAAATATATAAAAAAATAAATATTAAACATTTTAAGTTTGTTTTCACTTGAAAAATGATTTATATATGTGAAAAAGAATGATTCATTTTCATAATGTACTCTTTCATTTAATTCTATGTAAAGTGCTCTGTTTTTATAAAGCAAAGTGTATAATTAGAAAAAATGGAGAACTTTATATTTTTTCATGAAATGAAATTAATCATAGAATTTTTTTTAAAATATACATTTTGAGAATTATCATAAAATAGTTGGGTAATAAAAATGTAGAGAAAAATTAAACATTCATTCTAACTTCCTTTATTAGCAATCAAATTTCAAAGAGTTAGCATAGTTTATAGAAGTCAACAACTAATTTTATTATTATGCTAAAATAGATTCATTATGTTCTATTATTAATCAAGTTAAATTAGATGTTGGCTTCTATAACTCATGGCTTTTTTAATTTGATTAGAGAAGTACTTTTGATCTTTATTTACTGAACTATTATGATTATATATATATTTATTAAAGAATTTGATGGAAAGAAATTAATAAAGAATAAGAGCTAAAATTAGGCTTATTTGGTTAAATGAAAATTCAAAAGTTGTTATATAAAAAGTTGTCAATATGTATTTTTAGCTTGCCAACAGATATTTTAACATCAGGAATTTATTGTTTATAACATTTTTCTGACTTGTCAAATGGTATCTAATATTTATATTTCGACAGTTTAATAAACGATATTTTTCAAAATATATAATTTAGAAATATGATGGTGATGAACTTCAAAAAATATTATTTTCATATTTATTATTGTAAACTAGAATTTAATATCTATACTGCATTATGCAATATATATTTGAATATTATACATATGCATTCAATTTATATATAAAAAAGTATAATTTTTCTTTACTTTATTCAGATATAGTTGAATGCAGTTGACTTATTGATTTTTATCTTTGAAAGGGTTATCTGCTTTTTTGATTAACTACCATACAGTAAACTTTCAAAAAATACTAAAATTGTATTTTTATATTTATAAGTAATTCCATAATTTATTATTAATATATTATCAAGTTATAGACGTAAAATAATTGAAATCAGTGTTTACACATAAAAAGATATTTTTAGAGCATTTATGATTGAATAGACATACTTATTGTAGAAGAATTTAAATAAGATTTTAATACAGGATTTTTATTGTTTTTCTTTAATGAAAAGCAATGAATAGAATTGAAACTTCTCACTTTGAAAAAAATATATGTAAAGCCGTATGTGAAAAGAGCATTATATTGTATACGTACATTTTAAAAATTTTTAGCTCTTCATAACTTCTGTTAGAGAATAAATAATTTTTTTCTCCGACTCATTTCTGGATATGTATTTTTGTCTTAGATGACCTTACTAATTATGAATAATTTTTGGATTAGCTTTTATTTCGTCTAATAAGTACAGTTTTATTCTCCAGTAGCATTAAAACAGAAAACTGAGTAAATGAAATTTTTAAAATTAATATAGGTATCCCTTGTACAACATGGTTTGGAAAATTTGGGAAATCTCAATACAAAATTTCACAATTTTTAAGTGCAAACTCTGTTGTTCAATATTTTTTTATTGAAGTCAGCATGCGTGTTGTCTTACATTTGCTCATGGATTTTAGAATATTAAAATTTTCAAAGAAAATTGATAGTACAATTTTTTTCTTCCTTGTCCTAGCTTTCCTATTTAACTAGATGCCATCCTTTAGCCTTTAAGACTGTCGCTGTGTTTTGGTTTTATAGATTAATCTTTGTATTTAGTAAAGTTTATTTAAACATTTTTAGATAAGTGTTAAACCTTTTTTAACTGTAGGTAAGTACAGCAGAACCTCAATTATCTGGACCTATATTATCTGGATTTTCGATTATCCGGATTGTTCAAAATAAACAAAAATTTTACGAATTTGCTGATTTGCACTTGGTGAATTATGACACTGTTTATGTACGTGATGGAATGCATAACTTTTTTTGTTTCAACAACGTCTCACCTGGCACAGTGGTCGTAAACTGAAATATATTTTACGTCGTAATAAAAATATAACTTGACATACGTATTTATAAATAATTTATATTCAAATTACATCATTTCTATGACCAAGGGTGGCGTAAGGCATGGACGACGTGGGCCACCACCTATGCCTTGTGGTCCGAAGGGCCTTGTGCTTCGAAGGTTTATGCATTACTTAATTAATTAAAAGCTGCGAATGCAACAAAAAAATTTTACTCGTCATAAAACAATAAATAGTTTGTCAAATTATTATTCATAAAAATGCAGTTTCAACTGCTTTTTATTTTATAAAATCCATCTTTTTGTGCCACCAGAGGGCCTTTTAAACAATAGGTAGTCTGTTAGTGCTGGTCAGTAGTAGTGCAAATTCAATACAAACATTTGTTTCTTGAAAATTTGATCC